TGAAACTGTTTTGTTCTTCGTTATTACTATTCCTTTGTCTCACACCTCAGTTTACTGTCATTATTATATATTTCACCTACTTTCTTATCTTGCTTTGTATGCTTCATGGAGTGTGGCGACTTGAACTCCCGCACATATGTGCAAAGTTCTATGTCGAAAACCGACCGACCGAGACAACATTTGACCTACGACCTTAAAATCTTGATACTACCAGTTCACTTATTTGATAATCTTTAAAAGTTTTGTAATTCATCCCTTTCGACGCTATTAACCCCTCAATACATAATTTTAATTATCTTCGATTGATCATATTGATATCAACTGAGCAATTTCTAGTGCCAGTTCATCCTTTTTTGCGTACAGCTTGAATGAAAATGAAGTCTTTGAAAAGAGATATTTCTTTGTTGAACAAAACAAAAAACTGGGTTTTTCCTTATGAATTAATAATTAATTAATTTCGTGATAAAAAACAGTCTTTATTTACTGCCTCCTCTTGTGTCTTACTGCCACCGCCAGTGATTAATTTCTGAACTCATTACAAAGTAAGTCATTTATTTACGTTGTATTTGTAGTCTGTTGTTCCCAATAAAACTATTTCTGAACTTTTATCTGGATGTTTTTTATCACCAGATCCTCCTTTACTCTTAGCTTATGCAATACAGAAAAATTTCAGAAATCATAAAGAACGTCTCACATCAATCAGAAGCACTTCATATCAAGTGGAATCCAAATTGTCTGAACTGAATAGGAATGATGGACTAAAACAGAATCTGACCTGGTCACAACACCTCCCTCCCCTCCCCCATGAAGTGACAAATCAACACGAATGTGATATGCAAGTTCACTATGGAAACACACACTGCCTTTATAATTTTACACACTGATCAAATCCAACATTTTTATTTACTTACTTATTTAAACGCAGAAAAACTTGGTACAATATGGCACCAAGAAAGATGCGCCACACAATATTGTGTAAGGGCTGAGATACTGCCCGGGCGCCCAGACCGAAGCAGGTGGTTTTCCTAAGGGACCACCCCCCGAGCCTTTGACTTGGAGTCTTTTCCGCAAGGCAGCGGAGTAGCGTCAGGAGCTGCGTTCCCATGGTTGCCGGTGACCCATATGGGTTCATACGCCATTTGATCCAACTGAATTCTGAAGCCCATGTACCCCATGGTAACTGCTTTTAGTCTAACCGCTATCCAAACAACCTTCCTGACATGGTAGGACCTGCAGGGACATGAGTCCCAGCCAGTTTAGCTTGCTGGGTCACTGCGGCATTCACGCCCGACCACCACGGCAAGGTAGCAGTTATCGGTCGGGTCAAATCCAACAGTCTACACTTGGTTTTGTTGTGTTTACCAAATGACCAACTTGACAACAACAAAAAATGCCCCCAGATTAACGAACGATGATCAAGTTAGTAAACTTTGTTTTGATACCATAACAGATGTACTATTACCTTTGTTATTTAGTTTAGTGATCTTCATTGGTATTTTAACTTTCAATATATCCCCTTAACTTGACCTAAGGCTATTTTCTTACCTCTTAACTCTTTGTTATATATGTGCTGAGATTTTGTAAATTCCGGTTTAATAATACTTTGATAAAGCTATTAGCAGCAGCATTAAATAGCGAAACGTCAGTAAAAACAACAATATCGTTTTGTCGTTTTCATTCATTGGGAAATACAAGAAAATCCTTTATTATAATGAATATCATATACCCAATGCCAAAATTTTGTCAAACTGTTAAAAGTGAACTTGGTTTGGACATATATAACTTATGCAAGGTTTCTCTATGCTTTCAATAATGCATATATATAGTATTTGTGTGCGCACAGAAAGAGTCAATACAGTCAATACAGCTTTAAGCTAGCTAGCTAACCCTGCGCCACTCAATGAGCGAAACAGACCGTTGTCTGTCTGTGTATACACCTTTGAGAACTAAAGATGCGTTCCCATTGTATTAATCATATCATAACTATTAGCAAATTTTGGCTCACGGGAAGAATGTGCATAACATCATGACCAATAAATAATGATATACTGACATGAGTTTGGTTTTCTAGAATATTCCTTCCCCTTGTTCAATTAAAATTCTTTTTCCGATAATTCCTAATTAAGGAATTATATTTTTATAATATTCGAAGACACACAGTGAGACACTACCGAAAAGAAGCTTACCGAACATATGCTCTTTAGCGACCTTATTTTCAAGTCAGCATAATTTTTTTGGTTTTTCCGTCCTTTGTGACTAATCCTCACCTTTATATTTGCATTTTGTATCATGTTAATAAAATTATCACCGTTTAATTTCACATTTCTCACTATGTTCAATTATAAATGTCCACATAAACAACCTGACACTAATACGACCAGCGGTCTTCATCTACAGATGTTCTCATGTGGCCAGTTAAGTCATATTAACTGCCTCCACGCGGCAAGAGGTGTTTCTCACAAAGGTGAAGGGATGAATGCTAAAGTCTGACGTTCACATTTGGACTGGTGCACACGCTAGTCTACTAGGGAAACCGAAATAAACCCTCATTCCAAATCTATGGTGTACATGGGGGGTTCCATAATCCGAAGGGATCGAATGGCTTATGAACCTGTTTTGGTCAACGCCAACACCATGGGAACACGAGGCTCCACCGCCTTGTGAATCAGAATTCAAGTCAAAGGCTTGAGAGGGTGGCCTGTCAAGACAACTCCCTGCCTCAGTCTGGGCGTCCAGGCAGTAAGTATCCCAGACCTCGCACAAACTATGAGGTTTTGTGTGGCGCATCTCTTGATGCTCATAACGTACTATGTTTGTGTTTCAGTAATAATAATAACAATAATAATAATGACAATAATAATAATATGTCCAGTTAAATAACACTTGTAGAATAAAAATGCATAGAATAACGACTGTACGGCTATACGGAATGATATTCCATATTATTATGTTTGGCATGCGATTCGCCCCTGTTAAATGTAAGATGATGTTGCAGGATTGGACTACACCGACCCCTAGATTAGAAATAGGAAGTGAAGTGGTAGAGCACGTTGACCGCTTCACTTACTAGGGAAGTACCATCAGCCCCGACGGGTTGATCTCCGACGAAATCTCAGCACGAATACAGAGGACTAGTTTCGCATATGCCAGTTTACGCCGTCTCTGGCGTAGACGTGATATCCGGCTGGCTATCGACCAAAGGGCGTGTGTACTGCTCAACAGTCCGCTCCGTCCTCCTTTATGGCTAACTGTGAGACCTGGCCATTGAGAGTGGAAGACATGAAAAGATTAGCTGTGTTCGATCATAGGTGTCTGCGTTCTATCTCCTGCGTGAAGTGGCATAATAAGGTGAGCAATATTGAGGTTAGGCATCGGTCGAGTGCTAGGTAAGGAGGGGAAATCAGTCGACGAGACTGTGAAATTACATCGACTGAGATGGTTAGGACATGTGCTACGTATGGCTAGTCATCGCCTTCCTGGACAATGGGCAATGTTAGCTGATATAGGGTCAGGCTGGAAAGAGCTAGTGGCTGTCAAACCAAAACATGGCACCAGTCAATGAAATCTACAACAGTTAGTCTAAGCCACGTAGGAAGGTGTAGACTTCCTCACCAGTTGGGGTCCTCGGGACGGTAAAGTCCAATGGTTGCAAACAATTGGTGAGATGGCTCAAAATCGTTCTCAATGACAGCGCAGATGCATCCACTCCTTGTGACTTATGATTTCCAATGAAACTGTTTTGTTCCTCGTTATTACTATTCCTTTGTCTCACACCTCTGTTTACTGCCTATATTATTATGCATTTCTCCTACTTTCTTCTCTTGCTTTGTGTGCTTCATGGAGTGTGGCGACTTGAATTGCCACCCATATGTGTAAAGTTCTATGTCGAAAACAGACAGACAGACGGAATGATATTGCTGAAAAGATACCTTTGCTTAACTTCGTACTTTTTTTTAAGGAATAATTGTTGATCAATTAATCAGTTGACAAAAGATTTCATTTATCATGCCATTTAGTAGGTAACAAGACATCTCTACTTCATATGGCTCACAGCAGCTTAGTACATAGCATTTTGACTTTCAAAAGGATATGTGGTGGTGCATTGGAATCTTAGTAAATCTTAGTTAATACTCTCTGAAATTTGTGTACATACACCACCACTGACTACAATTTAACAAATAACATTGATAGTGAAAGCATAAATCAAGGCGTCTACTATGAGAGTTATTTACCAGTAAGTAGAGAAAGGTTATTTCGGTGCTAGTTACATCTGTTTGCTCTTGCCTACGCAGTTAAATAGTACTACTATTATCTTTTATACATTTATGATATATAAGACTCATATTTCACCAGTCTAGTATAGTATAGCTAACGTGTAATCAGTTGGTGGTTCAGAGGTAGAATAGTCAGCAGCCACATGGGAAGGTTCAGATTTGACTCCCGGCTGACGCACTAGCCCATAGTTTGGGAAGGTTAAGCGTGAGGCTGCTAGTAACACACCACCGCTACTGAAGCTTCAGAGGCATGAAGCCCTAATTTTTCACTCAGAACAGCAGAAGAAATGAAAAAACAATTGGTCGATGAGTTTCAATGACAGCTCGAAACGACATAGGCGCGTATCAGTATCTCGTACTTATTCACATAAAATAAGAAAAACATCAATTAATAAAACAGAGCCTTCCCGGCCGACACACTCCACTTTGATGTGTCAGTGGTTGGTTCAGTGGTAGACTGCTCACCAACCATGTATGTCGTCCGACGTTTGATTCTCTGCCGATACACTGCTAAACCTCGCTAAGCCAGTAGTAAATAAGCCCGGTAAAGAGAGAAGGTTGCAAGTGAGGTTAGCGATCCCACCGTGTAAAAATAAAACCACTGCTACCAAAACTTAAAAGCTCTAAACATAAAGCCCTATGTTCCACTCAGAAAGTAAAGGAATGAAATAAATAATAAAAATAAAGTAAACGATCAGCTATTCAAAATAAGAACAATAAACTTACAGATTCAGTTTCTTTCTTCGACTCGGATTTTTTAATCAATCGTAAAATTTGCGGCCGTGGTGGAAAGAAACAATCAAAGATTAATACAAGTATCTATATAAGATAAGGAGAACAATCAGAGAGAAGCATGACTCTTTTTTTTGAAAATATAACCTACTAAACCAATGAATAGACCGGAAAAGACAGTCGATAAGCCAATAATTAAAAATGACATCCATGGACGATAACCAGCATCTAAAATTGACTGATGAATATTCTAAACAAAACAAAACAAAGTGTATTAGATCAGAGAAACTTCTTTATACATACCGTGATCAAGATGCCGAGATCCATGAAACGTATGAAAAACTGCATACTAAATTAATTAATTAATTCATAGAGAAAAAGTGATTAATATACGAAAATTACTGAATTGATGCTGGTGAATAATACCATGGTAGAGGTGTTTCACTTGTATATTTTTGAGATTTTAAATAAACTTTAAGTTCATCGAAAGTTCTTAAACCATCATACACTCTGAACTCTCCATCTTTTACACTATAAAAATAATATTTTAAAGAAAAACAAACATATAACAGATTAATAAACAGAACGCAAAGTAGAAAAAAAGACCTAGACCAACTAAAATTAAACTTATCATACTACATACAATGAAATAAAGGTGAAAGTGACTAGACATATATATACACAACAAAGTTATATGTCATAGTGACAATCAAACTACCCGTATATTTGTAAAAACAAAAAAACTTAATGATAAAATGGAATGCATTTTTCTGAGCACACATGCTTAAAATAGACACTAACGGATGAAAACGTCTATACAACAGAGTGTTTTTGATAAGCAACAATTTTCGGATTACTAAGCTAACAACAGTACAGAAACACTTACAAAAATATTTGCAAAGTCTGGAATGCACGTAAGTTTACTTTCTTACTACTGCCTAACGTTAGAGGATATTTTTTTATATGCTTTGTGTAGTGAGTGACACCTATTATACATAAGGCCAATATAATACCTTGTGAATTTCACAATGTTATCCACCTGTTGAAAGTCTAGTGCTAAAACTAGTGAGTCATAGCTTCATATTTCAAATTTATACCATACACATAAGGGCTTCTTCATTCGAAGACACTTCCAGTGTATATATTTACCTTGAAAAGCTTCACCTTTACACGTAAATAATGTTGACATTTACAACCATTACATGGCACCAGTCAATGAAATCTACAACACTTAGTCTAAGCCAGTCACGTAGGAACGTGTAGACTTCCTGGTTGGGGTCCTCGGGACGGTAAATACCAATGAAGGCTGGAAACAATTGGTGACATGGCTCAAAATCGTTCTCAATGGCTAGCGCAGATGCATCCACTCCTTGTGACTCATGATTTCCAATTAAACTGTTTTGTTCTTCGTTATTACTATTCCTTTGTCTCACACCTCTGTTTACTGTCTATATTATGCATTTCTCCTACTTTCTTCTCTTGCTGTGTGTGCTACATGGAGTGTGGCGACTTGAACTGCCGCACATATGTGCAAAGTTCTACGTCAAAAACAGACACACAGACAGAATGATTATATAATGGTTCTGATAAAATGTAATCAGAAGAATAATGTGAGATATGTTAATCACGAATAGCAGCACAACACATAAAACACAAAGCCGCTGTACACAAGAAGGGAGTGCGAAGAATGCTTTAAGACTTTCATTTTTGTTTTTACTGTATGAATCATTTATCACTGTTTTAGTCGTATTAATAATTTACATTTGGTTAAATAATCCAAGAATCTACGTATCATTGTACTCTACAGCCTTCTCATAAGAAATAACACTTGCTAACATTATTTGATAACAATGGATAACCAATAATATGAAATCACTTATTGAGGATCGATCATGATTATTATTCACGAATTGCAGATATGATAATCACAGCCACCTATCTAACTCTGCTTACTTTTATCATTATTATTGCGTTATCTTTATTCTTTTTACCTTTCTTCATGCATGAAGCAGCAGCACTTTGCACATATAAGTGCAGAAATTCAAGCTGATACAATTAGATAAAGAACGGAAAAAACTAAAGAAAAATTGTGACGAAACTACAATGAATGAGAAGAAGAGTAAGTATCTAGAATTTTATGATTAGACGTGTAATTGGCACAATCATCGCGTTTTCACTCTCCATTGTCTGCAACAGAATGCATATCCTAAATCCGTAGCTGTCGAGTCACCTGACAACTTCAGTAGGTCGAATAAAGCAGCTCAATCTTCAGAAAGAAGGCAAAGCAATAAGTCCGACAGGGTGCTTCTACTAAACGCTAATCCTAAACACCATAATTTTGAAAATACGTCTAATCATAAAATTCTAGATACTAACAGTTTGAACAGACATGAAGGTGTGATGTTAACTGATGCATAGGAAATCCTTATTAATAAATAACAATGGATATGTATCACTAATTATTAATACTTGGTCAAAATTCTCGACTGTCCATATCTTCTTATTGAGACGTTAAGAAACGTTTTACAACTGTTTACCCACACACATATACACACTCTGTTTAAAGTGTTTAACAAAGGTAGACCAATATTTGTAAGTCCGAGGTCAAATTTTGATCACAGCTCATAAAATTTTGTTTATTATACTTGTTGATACTTGTTGAATGACTCATGATTGGACAAAGTTTTTAAAAACAAATTATGTTCCTTTTATATATAAACCTCTGTTATGTTAATTTCGATTAATTTCCCTAAAGAAGTTCGGACCAGATTGCCGAACGAAACGTTGGAATTACTCATTTCAATCTCGCTGAGATTTTACAAACATAATTTTTTACAAATGTCTACTTCTCACTCGGCGCCCATATATTTTAGAACTATTCTGTCAAATCTTGACGACAGTTCATTTGAATGTAACCAAGTTATTACAAACTAAACATCATATTCAGATGACACATATTTCTATAAAATTCCAAAAGATCTTGATACATTTATCCATGGATAACTGTAGTTAATGAAGAACTGTAACACTACACTTAAAGAACAGCATGTGAATAAGGAACACATAAATTACAACATTCACTCCACCAGCAATTTTGCTGCGGTTTAACCGACTTCTGTTTACACTCCTTGTCTTTCTGAGATAACCCTAATATGGCCGGTCCAAAAAGTTGTACCTAGTGTAGTGAAAGCTTTACAAACTTATTTGATCAGTTAAACAATTAAAAGAACAACTGTTATGAACTACATAAATGATGGGCTTGTTAGCTCGAAAATATTTTTTAAAAAAAGCTCTCACTATCATCTGTACACACAGTATTCAACTGGAAACAAAACTTACTGGTAAAGAGTTGGAAGTCTCTTGACGAAAAATATGAAACTAAGAACAGGACTTTCTGTTACATCAACTTCTGCGATTAAAGAATTGGTAGACGTATCCTGAGCAAGCTGTTCCCAAATTGGGGAAAATTGTCGACAAGCTGGACACCATGGCGCGTGGCTGTAGTGTTGATTTTTTTAGAAAAAAATAGGAAAACGAGGACTAAGTTTACGTCTTTATGGCTTATGTAGATTCGGAGCACTAGCTATACTTGAAAAAAAAAACCAAAATTATTTATTCCAAAACATTTTGTGGAACTCCTTACCTTACTTTGGTTATAACAAAGTTTTTGTTTTAGTTAACTTCATTTTACATCACTTTGGTATCCTTATCGTTATAATAATTATTATTATGCTCATAATCTCACCTTTTGGCAACACTCAACCCACTTAGCGTCTCTTCATATGAATTCCTTTCCCTGATAATTTTATTTGCATTTCATCCACTTTAATACTACCCTTTCAACAATTATGTTAATTAATTTCTATCAAGTGTATTTGAATAAGCAATTTCTAGTGCCAGTAGCTACATGTTTACGTAATATATAAATGCAGCCGTATAGCTGGAAAATGAAGTCACTGAAAAATATTCCTCCGGTTAATTACTTTCTGTTTGAACATATCGATGATAAATATCGAAAGACTGATCGGTGAACCAGAAACATTCTTTTCGACAACTTCCTCATCAAGCTTCTACAGTTATACCTATTAGCTTACACTTGTGTTATCTGAGCAGGATAGTTCATTTGAGGAAAAAAGCAAACTTCATATCGAATTCTAAGCTGAGAATCTGTTTAGAAAGTGGATGAAAACTTCTTAAATAAACTATCTAGCTTGGAGAACACAACTACGCCAATAAAATTCACCTGAGCTACAAATCATTTCTCCAGTTATATATACACAATAGTTAAAGAATAATTTTTTATTATAGGTTGACTCCACATAGTATTTCTGATACAAATATGGAATTTTCAGCATGTGATATCAGAAGCCCAAATCAAGCAGGCTGATCATTGATACCAAGTGTGTGTCGGCCAGGGATTGAACCCCGGACCACGTGCATGGTCGGCGAGTGTCCTAACTGCTGTGCCACCGACGCACAGCATTGTGTTTTAAATAACCACAGGCAGGTGAAAATGAGACGTCCGATTGTACAAGTGTAATAAATAAGAGACAGGAGGATGTTTCTATATCAAGGACGACAAGTCATACCTAGAACGTATGATGTAACACTTCACAGCAAGTCAATGTAGCAATAGTGACTGCACTTAATTTTCCTGCACATAAAGTTCCAACGATTTTAAGCCAATTACTACAGCCTCCACTGTTCGGAGTGTTACGTAGGTACTGACTCTAGGCAGTTAATTCAGTACACCATAAGTGAGAGGAGGATTCTTCTGTGCCGACCTTCTGGTTTTTTTTTTATTTTTTTATTTTATTTATTTTATTTTGATTACAGCTTGATTCCACACCGTATTTTCAGTACAAGTATGGAATTTTCAGCATGGATATCGGTAGCCCAAATTTCAGGCCGACCATAGATATCAGGTGTGCGCCGGCAGGGGATCGAACCCCGGACCATGTGCATGGTCGGCGAGAGTCCTAACCACTGTGTTCTAATGTCAAATATTTGATGTTTTTTCCTACGCCTTTATTCAGTCACACAGGTAAATCTTTTCGAACGCGAAAAACTAAGATCGTAGAGCAGACTGATATAACTGGTTCCACAAGAGCAGATGAATTGATGGGTACCTAGGTATTTAGGCGCTTCACCTTTCAGTCTCGGAATCAACCAGGCGTGTAAAAAATTGATGTCAGTAAAAAGTTTGAGCATTGTGGACTAGATCGAATAAATTATAATTATATTTCAATGGTTCACATACAATGATAAGTTTTTGTTTTCTAGTGATATTTTGAGCCCGTGATCACACCGACTGTTGGAACTGTTTTGTTTTTAAAATGAGCAGCAACTAACCAGAATTAAAAGTTCTTTGAACAAATTTTCACTTGTTGATTACAACTTCACTTGGTATATCACCTTTAAATTTCAATAGAGTGGCCTATTCTTCACAGATGTAGAATATTTCTTTTCGACTCTCATAGATATGTGGACAGTTCGCCATCAAATTTTAAACTTAAATTCATGGTGCACTTTAGCAGCGACTTTTTAAGTAGATTTGTTGGGGTATTAATATTTACTGACCTATTACTGATTCACATATGTAGACAGACGTTTCAATCAGAGGTACATTTGTGAATACAGGCAATATGTTGCTAATATCTTTCACTCTGACTATGAATCCTAAGACAACTTCCACACTATATTTGACTAGCTGATCATGTAGAGGTTTTAGAATTTACCAGTTGTTTAGCTAAAGCATGATAGGGTGAATTCCGCAAACACATAATTGGTCTTTGTTCACTTGGAGTAGAGTGCATAAACTTTTTGTATGTCCCTGTGGGGTTGAGTCCGTAGCATAAACTTGTGAGAAATATTTGTTCCTCATTTAGTTTCTCCAAAGCTCCGGTTAGTTCATTCGCAATTTTTTTATTCAAAACTTTTCGACTTTTCTGTTCTTAAGATTTCAACCTGTCACTCAATTTATCATCTGTATTTTCGACATAATCATATATATTCCTGAAAACAACCTAGAAACCTTCATCAGACTTTAAAATTTCCAGCTTTTTATCATTTGACACAGCTAGCTAAGTACGAATACGTTATAGGAACGTATGGCAGCGTTATTGCAATGCAGCATCGGAGAATTTTGACCGTTGTGGTACAGTCTCGACGCAATAACTTTGTGTCACTCGTAAAGGTATTTTACCCGCACCACAGGTGATATACGACGAAAGATATGCAGCTTGACACTCGCAATTTACAAATTTTCCAGTTATCTGATATCCGCAAATTTATTTTACCAAATTTCTCCTAAAGTGCATGTTATTGCCAAACTTAAGGAATGTCACAATGAAGTCCTATACATTAGTCCAGTCAGCTGCACTATAAAAAACTGGTATTTGGCTGTGCAATTCTGGGGAGGCATCATGGACAAGCTACTAAATATTACAACATTTCAGAATAAAAAACAAAATGGCAATAATAAATGCGGCCAACATAATTAATAGATAACTGCTTTATAAGTTGCTCACAATTTTACAAACCATTCGCCTTCCAGCATTTGTTTCCAATTTGTTGAGTTAAGTTTAATAACATCACATGAACAAAATCCTAATAAAACTAATAAAAACCCGAGAGCGTATCTTAGAGTTTTCATTCCTGCGCACTGAAGCCACTGCCCTAGAGATTGAACATTCAATTTCACTTCGACTTGCACACCTTTCCGGGAAATTCATGTCTGTGTATTTCTTTCTTGGATTACTTAACGAAATTTTGGTTTCTTCAACCCATTTAAAATGAAGAAAGAAATTATATGATGTGCAGTAATGCAGTGTCCTTATCAGGTGAGTATGAAGCTCTTCAGACATCTGCCATGAAGCGTAATGTGATAGAGGTTCTCTCGGTGAGCAAAATTCTATTTGAGGGTATTTATCAAGGGATCCAGTGCCATTTGGTCCAGCAGAATCTTTCGAAAAGTCAATCATCCTATGTGAGAAGTTGTTTTCTACCCGTAGTTTGTTAACCTGCCGTTTAAACCAAGCGATGAACCCTCAGAAGTATCTCAGAACCAGCACACAGTCTGCAAAGCTCAAAACCCACCTAACTATTTTCTATATAAAGAGTGAACATAAGGTCACCGTCCCTATTACCGTGTGATCATTTTAGGGGCTTCGACTTTCCACCTTCTTCTGTGGAGGGTTTACGATATCTTCCGTTAGCCTATGGCAAACGAGTTGTAAACTCTCCAAAACATTCATCTCTTTAAGCATGGGCTGGTGTCTCATATACTGTATATAAAATATATCCACCATGGACTGGATATATCATTTTAAACATTTGCTAACCTAAGTATTGAGACGACCTGCCAAGCACACAGAGTATTTGGAAAGCCGCAGACGTAGCTATAGGACAATGGACAGTGGTTTCTAACCTCCAGCCGGTAGTAATTCACATCTTTTTTGTTCCTTAACGCTAATTAAAAATACATCCCATCATACGTAAAAACAGTGTGTAAACCAGCTAAGTGGGATTTCATTTTAACTGAAGCCCTTTAATTTACTCAAGTGGCTCAAACAGTAAACCTTACTTAATGCGACTTTTTGTCCCCGCTTTCCACCTAATGTCTCCTTGCTATCAGAAAGTTCATTTCACACGGAGTTCCTAGAATGATTACCTGCTATTCTTTCATCAATAAGCCGTGTTTCTCTACAGTGACAAATAATTGGTCTCTAAACAACCATTTTAACACCATAATGGATATATATGTTGGGAGTGAATCTGGGTGATTTGATATAGGTTTACCACTACCCTCTTTAAGAAAATGACTCTAATATGCACATTTTAAATCTGGGTTCTTCGAATTCGTTACACCCAGGGTCACAAATAAGCTACGGCTTATCTCGTCTCCGTTCTGTCTCCAGATGGCCATTCTGTCCACATCTTAATATTCCTTTTTTGACACCGAATGCGTGAATACGAACATTGCACTAACTACTAGTACTTGGAATAGTCGGCTGCTACTGTCGTCAATTTCTACATTATGTTTAAAAATTCTAGAGACTTTTTATGGACTCCCTCCCTTCCAACCGGGAATACTTCTTAAGGCTTTGACCCTGCCAACCCAGATTCACATGCATAAATATCAGCTGAATCCGCATCTGTAGGCTGTACCATTTTCCTAATGATGATCAGACAAAGAAATCATAAGGTGCGGATTCAGTATCAGCTGTCACGTAGGACTTAGTATAATATCCCGTAGCCATTTGTATGGAACTATGTTCGTCTGCTGCGGTTTTGCTGAAAGTGACAGCAACTCGTTCACTTGGATGCTTTGTCCCCGTAAAGCTATCAACTTGGGGTTGAACATAACTAAGGTTTCATGGCTCTGCCTAGGACCTTTAATGACTGTGATGTTCAAATTTTCGTTTTCAATTGCTTCTGGTGTGAATTTTTGGATATGCGGGGTTCGAATGAACATCCTGTCTGACTTAAAGTAGAAG